GACGAAGTTGACATTCTGCACCAATCTGAAAGATATTACCCGAGACTCACCAGGGAGGCCATCGAAATATTTAAACACCAAAACAATTTCAACAGAAAAGATGAAATTACGGCACTCAATCCAGATTGGAAGCGCGTTTTGTGCCAAACAGCATGTGCGCCGAAGCGTTGGAACCCCTACCCATCCCCCACGCATGAGCACACACGGCTGGGCGGCATAAATACGACTGGGAATCCAGCAGTTGAATCATTCTTAGTCGGAAAGCATGGGAGATCACTTCGCCCACTGCCTCATCGCCTTTGAAAATGTCCACCGCAGTTGTGGACGAAACGTCAGGAAGAAATTCCGATAGACCACGGCTTCAAAGCCCGGAAAACATTTCTAAATGTAACGGACACTTTAGTTATGCAAATCATATGGACCCTTGAATTTATGATTTTTCTAATAGATATATTTACGTTTAAGAGTAGATAATCAGACCGTTTGTCGAGTAGTCTATATATTTGTAGAATATGTCTGATGCGGTGGATAGGGCTATGAGAAAACGGTACGATGAATGGTAAATTCAAGAGTAATTTCGTTAAAGTCACTAAGCCGGCGTTCTTTTCATAAGCTGTACAATCTTTCACCACGAGTTTTAAAAGCGTTGGATATCTTGAAATATCGAACTTGATTCCTTTCTGCTCGGTTCCCACAACCCACAACTGAACAAAAGGATGGCATATTCACTTTTTCCACCAAAAAACACAGATAACTTTACCTTTTAAGGATATTTAAATTAATAACAGAGCGATAACCTCTATTATGTACAATGCGAACATTGTATCAGAACAAAAAGCAGGCCCGTAGATAATTTCTAAGAAGCGCCATATTATTTTGGCACAAAATTTCTTATTTGCAATATTTGCACGCTGTTCAATATGTTTTCCTTTGTTTAAATGCTTACAAAGGCTGAGTAGTACTAAACGAAACAAGTCACAATGACATATAATCAGAAGTGTCAAATTTTACTAGTTAAAGTGTAGTTATAATTTAGCCACCAGTGGGCGTTTGGACTTCTGATCTCGCAAATAAGGATTATAACCTAAAAGTTTATGTGATGTGTGGTTTTGTGTTTGAATATTGTAAAAAAGTATGTAAACTTTTTATTGACATGTTGTTGGTTTAAATATGCTGCTGATATCCAGTTTAACTTGTTTTTACTCCAAACCTATTTTCAGCTCCGAAAATTAATAATACAATACTTTTTACCAACGTGTAATAATTGTTGTGTACTAATCATATACTACTATTTTTCAATATATAATTCAGTATTTTTTAAATCCAATTTGAAATATCTTTATTATTTACATTGTAAATAAGTAATCAGTGTCAATATAACAAGTAACCGGTGCCACTAAATAGCAATAAGTAAAACGAGATAATTTTACTAGTGGAACTACAAAATCGTCAATCCAAACAGATGAATGCTTCAAATCATATACCAGGTGCCCCTGTATTTCAATGCGTACACTTATTGCATAAGTTTTATCATAGAACTGCTTCACTTCACTTCATAATCTTACTTTACCGCAGCATTTTTCATATTTTACAAGAGTTAAACTTGAAACTCCTTGCTTGTTTGCAAAGTTGAAATTGCATCTTTAAGGGCTAATATCTTCGAGAAATTAACTAACTTTTTAACCTCTTTTTATTTTTGTTACCTGTGTCGAACAGGTAGCAGGAATTTCTTTCAGAATTAATATTATTTTTTATCACAAATATACGCTTTTCATTGATTCATGTTTGTTTCAGATACATATTCCAGACAATAATTTCTATAACTACCTCCTATCAAAATGAGTAAAGAAGATTTTGATATATTTCGCCACCTAGCAAAAGATCCAAAGGCCAATAACGCAGTGAAGCTAATTAAAGGATTACAGAACCGAGAAATCGGTGCTTTGCGAAAAACTGAAAACAAGGAACAGCTGCAAATATTTGCAGAGGAGGAACTTGTGCGCAAAGAAGATCTGAAAGAAATGGTAAGTGAACTAATTAAGTTGGTTTTAAGGTACATGTTTGCTATCAAAACTTAAGTGCTATAGAATACATAATCAGTATTGTCTGGTCAGTTTCTTATGGCGATGGTAAAAAAAGCAATCTCGATCTGCTAAACTTATAAAAATAACCGTTTATTGATTTACGTTTGGGTTGTTCGCAGAAGATCGGTTAAATATTTTTAGTATCCAATGAATGTGCTGTATGTATGAAGATGTCAAAATTTACATATTTTTTCGAATAATTCAAAAACCGTAAATTTTTCAGGTTAAAGGTTTGAAATAAACTTACATTAAAATTTTACTATAAATCCTAAAAGCTCAAAAGGGTGGGGGGATTCATTTAAAAAAATCATAGTTGGTAACTAACACACGTTTATGACTCACCCCGTCTATAGAAAAGTAATTTTAACATGTGCCCCTTTTAAACATCAGAAACTTGTAAAAAGTATTTTCTTCTAAAGTTCATACTTACTGAGATATCGCACTTTGACGCACTAATGAGCAACCCTGTATATGATTTGCTTACTAATATACAGTCCCTGCGTTATCATCATTAATTAATAAAGGCGATACCCCCCTTTATTTTTTTAACCTTAATAGTTGGTACAAAATTTAACATCTACATAAAGATCAAATTGTTCATCTTTTGACTGCTGAAAATGTCAAAGTGACAGTTTTTCGCCATTTTCGTTTATTTTTTCTAATGGAATGGGTGGTCGACTGACACGTTGTTTTCAAGGTATGTTCCCGTCAACTGTCAATTTGTAGATCATTTGTTTCAGCGGTTTTCGAATGACCGGTTGCCAATTAAAAATCTGATGAGTTTGGTGTTCTGTCTAACTCTGTACAAAATTGAGAAAAACAGCTTAACCTTTAGGAATTCTATTTTATTAAGTGTTCAAATTTTTTCCCGTTAGCGGCCTGGCAATGGTAAAGCCGATGCGTGAATTTATCTCTAACTGTTGCGAATATGTCTCGATATTCCAAGGCCAACGTTCCTTATTCTTTCTCTCAGGTTTTGTAACATGGCTCTTGAAATATCCCCAGAGAAAAAAGTCTATTGAGGTAAGATCAGATGACCGTGCATCGATTTGACTGTCCCCGCCGTCTAATCCACCTATTTATAAATACTGTATTTAGCGACTCGCTAACTGCTCTTGAATAATGAGGGGTGCACCGTCCTTTTGAAAAACTATGTCACTCTGAAATTATTCTGGATTATCCCTGACGATATCTAGATAAAGTTCACCGGTAAGATTCTGATCAACCCTAAAAATGGGGCCGGCAAAATGATTTCCACGTATGCCAGCCCAAACATTTGTGTGTTTGTGGGAATTGTGTGTGCCTTTCTCGAAATACGTGTGAGTTCACATCAGACCAATACCGTACATTCACAACCGTTCAAAAAAAAGTTGATTCGTGAAAATCCACCCAATTCGCCATTCCTTCGCCAATTCGTCTGGCATAATCTGGAAATTGAACAATTGTTTCGCACATGAGTTCACAAAACTGCATTCTGATATCCGGATCATGTTCTGTTAACTTATGAACCAGATTGATTTTGTATGGGTGGAACTTGATTTTCTTGAGGTATTTTCGGACAGTGGTTTCTGAGACTTGGCATTCTTCAGTAGCGTTTTTTGATGACAAGCAAATTTGTGACCATAGTGGCAAAAATGTCAATTTGTTTGACTTCGGGAAAGACTCTTTTCCAGTACTTTTTTCTACACTGCCAGTACTCACAAAATTTTGGAACAATTTTCTGTAATAATTTTGGCAAAAGGATATCTTTCGTTAAACGATCGTGCCGTTTGATGTAAATTTCGACCGGCTTCTCCCTAAATCACTACCGCTTCAGTTCTTTGTTCCAATGTGCGTCCATAAGTCATATTTGCATCCAAATTAACGCTCTTAAACTAGGTACTTAAAGAATATTTAATAGAAACTTTGAAACGTAGATAACGATGATCGAAACTATCAAAAACTCTCAAAATATGTAAAAAAAGTTACTACTCTAGAAATTCAAGCAGAAAAATAAAGCAAAAAACAGTGGATTTAAGCGAACTGGATACAAAAACGAATGAAAGTACACTTGGCAGTGTTTAAGTACGCCAAATAAGATAAGGTAACTTGACAGGTGTGAAGGTTCAAATCTAACTGATTTTAATGTTACTATTTTGAAATTGAAATGGATACTGGTGTGTGGCACTCATTTTATACAGTTCAATAATATCTGGATAGGCCTTGCTGCATGTGGTAATGACAATTAGAGTTTAGCCGGTTTAGATAAAACTACATTTGTGTACAGCGTTAGAAAGAACAAGAAACTCATTAGATATTTAATTGGCAATCGGTCATTCGAAACCCACTGAAACAAATGATCTACAAATTTAAGGTTGACAGGAGGATAAACAGACCTTCAAAACAAGGTGTCATTCATTCACTATGACATTTGCAGAAGTCATTTTTATGTCAAAAGATGGACAATTTGCTTTTATCTAGGCGTCCCAAATGTTGTGCCCATAGCTATTAAGAGACTTCAGGTTCAAAAAATAAAGAGAGGACTCAATATTTACGCGGACACTGTATATTTTATCATTTGCATCTGCTATCTTTGCATCGTTGCAAGCATTGGGACATGAAGTAGCTTTCCTATTATTGAAAATTAGCTCAGATTATACATGAATCGGGCTCTGATAAATACTAGTCGGACTCTTGCTTTCCTCAGATAGCTGGTATCCTCAGATAGTAGCTACACAGTTACGTAGCGAAATGAACTTTTTCCTTCTTGTCTTCGAGTGCTTTATATCCCTTCCACATATAAGGCTTGTTATATTTACATCATCTTAGTAAGGTGCACACTTCACCTTTACATTTTTTTCCAGCGATGTCAAATGCCAGGAATTCCACGGTCTACGTTCCTCATGGTATTTAGCCCGGATGGTCAAAGAGCAGCATCTACTCATAGCAATCACAACATATACGTCACTGACTTAAGGACCGGGAAAAACATTAAAACGTTGGTGGGGCATCCGAGAACACCCTGGTGTATCGCATTTCATCCTACATCCAACCAGATTGTGGCATCTGGGTGCTTAGGAGGCCAAGTGAGAATTTGGGATCTCAGTGTAAGTTAACTTTGTTGATATATTTGTCATTGCTAAAGTGCTACAATGTTTATTCAATTTAAATGTTGTAGCGGCTTGCCAATTTTGCCAATACTAACAAACACAAATATTAATCGAAAATTATGTAGAACAAGCAAGTTATGTTGGTTATCGTCAAAAATCACATAAATACTGAATACAACAAATTCCCTGGTAATCCTGAGCGGGGAGAGACGCGAGCGGTCACATGTTTGCCGTTTTTAATTTCAATACAGTGGATAATAACGTTACTACTTATTAAAATACGTTTATCTTTGTTAAAACAAGAACGTTTCTGATATTTGTGCTAATGGTGTTGTGTGGTTTCTAATGGTGTTATGTTGTTGAAACTAATATTAACAAAAACAGCGTGTTCCTTTTTACTTTTTTTATACTATACACCAGTGACTTCTTGGTTGACGTTGACAACTGAAAAGCAGGGTATGACCCGTAATTAAAAAACTAAACCGTACAACTGGATTGCCATTGCTACTCTACTACAACAAAAACAGTATTTTTCTACATAATCTAACACCCTCGAAATACCTTTTTTCAGGGGGTGCGGAGGTTTTTAAGCCCGTCATAGTACGAACTGTTCGGACGTTCACGTAGTCACTGAACAAGTTCTTCTATCGCTTGCTCGAATAATTAATTCTCAGTTTATGAACTGGAAAACGTTTTAAACGTTGTTCAACATATAATCTACGTTGCAAGCAAAAACATGGAGAAGGTCCGCGGGAAAACGCCTTTTCATCATACCAGTTAATTCCATTTTCAACTATCGTTCAAACTACGCAATCGGAAATGGTCTACTTGAAATAAGTCCATTCTATTTAAAACGCACATCTAAAATCTTTACAAAATTTGCGTACTTTATTTAAAACGTCCAGTATCATCAAATTTTAAAATCGTGAAGCTCAAATTTGCTAAATATCTACTTTTTTAATTACGAGATAAATGTTCTTCTTAAATTAGGCCCTGGTCTAGGCATGGTTTTTCACTACTGCTGCAGTCGTATTTGTGACGTAGACTGGTGCCCGTTGGTTTTAAATCCCTTAATATTCGGTCTCTCGCCCTCCATTCGTGTGGCATGCTGGTTCCACTCGCGTCTTCTTTGTTTTCCCCATCGTACAATATCATGTGTCTCTCATAGTTCTCTTATTTGAATGTTCCGGGTTCTGCCTCACAATGTTTTACCCGTGATTGATCTTAATGTTTTCATTTCTATTGTTCTGGGTTGATTTCTATTTTTTTTGCTTTTGATGTTTCAGCTGTCGTTTCTATTGAATATGCTAGTGTTGACTTCACATATGACTGATATGCGTATTTTCTCGTCCAGCCTCAAATATTTATTCCTCCAGTTGACATCTCTTGAACATCTTAATACATAAGTTGCTTTATTAGCCTGCTTTCGTACACATCTTTATTTGAACTCCAGATATTTGAACTTACGAAAGTGTTCGCTTATTTCTTCGTTAATTACGATTTAACATCGTCTGGGTTCCCTTGCTAGTGCAAGCGATTTGGTCTTAGATGTTGATATCTGCATATTATAGGTGTCTGCCGTTGTTTTATAGGTATGCATCAAGCGCTATAGGGTATCTTCATTTAGTCCAGTCGCATTAAATTTTTTCCGGGTACTAAAAGTTCGGAAGGATGTCAGAATAGTGTGACAATAGTTTGAGCGCGATTTCCGGCTGTGGAACGGTGTTTAAATAATTAAAGTAATGTATTCAAAACTTTTTAGGGGGGTATTTTCCTCAAATTTTTGTCTATGCAAAAATGATGAAGTTTTTATGTATTATTATCGGAAATTGTATACATTGCAATACAGTGTGCGTGAAATACTGCACTAGAACACCACCAATGACAATTCTTCATTTCATTTATTTTTTAACGTCTAGGGCGGAAGCGAGGTATGGACAACTGCTACACAGTCTGTTATTGCATCTATAGCATTTCATCCTAGTGACCGAGTTCTAGTGATTGCCACCTTCAATGAAGTCTATTTCTGGGATTGGAGTCTTCCTGAACCTCTTGTACACGTCTCCACAAATAGTCCCAAAGAAAAGGTGCGTATTACAATGAAGTATAAAACTGGTTTTCAGGTAGAATCACCTATTATGTTGGGTTACTGCAGACAGTTATCTAAGATATACCTACAATATTATAAAAGTTTTTTTTTAAATCTCGACCTATCTGCATCTCTACTGTGTTTTCAACGGATTTTACACATGTAATTCAATTATACAATCTGTTCCATTGTAAGCATGTGGAAAAATAAATATTTTGCTTTGCATAGAGTACAGTTAAAAGCGCGTCGAAAGCTACCTGCTAGGTGATCAAAGACTTACCTTTCGTTTCAAGGATTCAATTTTAATATTTTAGTTGATTTTTTCAATGTGATCAACATGTTTAATTTCAGGTGCGCTATGTCGCTTTTGACAAGCTGGGTCACAAGTTGATTACTGGAGTAGCCAACAGTCCTCAAACACGGTGGGAGCGTGTTAGAGCTCCGGTGGTTGTTCCGAGGCAAGAGCGTTGCGCAAGCCCATATAGAAGAAGAATAACTCAAAGGCTAGTTACATCCGCTGGAAACGCGCCGAACCCAGTAAGTATCTATTTCCAACATTCATAAAATAGATGATCTGTTGTTGGTCAATTAATAAATGTAGTGCAAATGTGAAACAATATATTGTTAAACTCTTTTGGCCATGAATGGCCAAAATGGAATTCGTTGTCGTGCCGATTTAGGCGAAATTCAAGCATGTTTCAAAATTGAATATAAAAATAATTAATGTCTCATGCAAAGGCATGAAATAACCGCGATACAACATCATTCAGCTAGTAGTTCACGTATATTTAAACATATAATAAATGTTTGCATGCTAAAGCTGGATTTATAGACGCCGTAACGTAAAACGTAGCCATAAGCCGAAAGACGTAATATTTTGTTGATTAAAGGGATTCAGACAACGAAATTATTGTTGCTGAAAACAAACAAAATATTCAACGCGAGATTGTATAATATCTAAACCGTTATTTGGAGAAGTGAAACCATAACCCAAGAATCCATTTAATTGGAGAGTTTTTTTAGAGTCCTAAAAATTGTAAATGAAAGGATTATTTGCGGCTTGCAATGCAACATTACCGTTAAACGTTGCGGGATGGCAACGCTATACGTAAGACGTAACGCAAGGAATGGAATTGAACCATTTCCGAAATTATGACTTACATTTTACATTTTGATAAGGCTACTCTGAATGCATACACTGCTATTCATTAGTTTATTTTCTTACGTCTTACGGCATGTCTTCCGTTTTGCGTTACGACGACAGTTGCAGCCATTCAAATAACTATTAATTTTTCCTATAAGGGAATAAGAAATGTTCTACTTAATTTGAGTCGCATTTCTTGTTGAAAAGGACTTACTTTAATGGAATTTCGACAAAATTTTGGACACTATTAATATAAAGTGTTAAAAAAAATAAGTTTCAAATTGACGTTGAGAAACCCGCCTAAAATCAATTTTTCCAAATGGCAATCCCCATTTTTGATATGTTTATCTTATTCAATATTAAAAATAAGCGCAAGTTTGTGTAATGTTGTCTATTCCAAAACTGTTTAGTTTTCGAAATATTGTCAATTTCATCTTTTCATATGACTATTTTGCATCTTATTTTAAATACTGTCACTCTTAGTTGCCATGACGAAAGTGGCCATTTTTAATACAATCGAATGCCAAAGAAATGCTGACAGCTGTCAGTTACTTTTTGAAAATAATTAATAATCATGCCAGGGAGCTTCAATTATACAAACGAAGATTATTTAAACTTATATATTATGTATGAAGAATGCGGCGGTTCCCGGTGGACCCTGTATAATAATATAATAATTTTTTTTTAAATAATAGTTAATTTTTAAACTACTATACCATTTGATCGTTACGAACAGTGAATTAATTTTAGCAGCCGTCTTATCCAGAATATTCAGCACCGCAAAATAACACCCCTGCTGTGGTTCCTGAACGAGAAAGAAGAATTACCATGTGCTACCAGAATTTAGTCAGGGAATATGAGCTACTCGTTCATAGATATCTGCAGTTACACAGAGCGCCAACTATGGTAATATTATACTGATTAATTAATATACCCAGAAGTAAGGTCTATTACTATACAACTCGTTTAAAATTATGCATTTTTTGAGAAAAGCTCGTACCCGTCAATGTTTATTTGTATAGGGTGACAATAAAAATGACCTCTAGCAAAAACTTCATAAATGGTTAATTTTCAAAAAACCGTAATTTATTGACAAAGAATAAACAACTATTTTGACTACAACATACTCAGCCGGCTCAAACGCTGCCGAAATTTTTCTGCCGCGCCACGCACCTCCCAAATTCGCTGAATTTAACTTCTATTCTACTCATCAATTTTTCACATATGGAAAGACGATCAACCCAACAATGCAGATAATTTTCGATAATTTTTTTGTTCCGCTAAACGCACGATTTCAAAAACCACAAAAGTTAAAATTTGACTCATCATAAATAAACTGACGTACGCAAACAAATGTATCTATTGTTCACTTATTTAAAAATAAACATTTACGGTTTCGAGCTTTTTACCAAAAGACTTTAAAATAATTTTAGACATTACTTCTGAGAATCACTGTATATTTATTCAGTTCCTTCCGAGCTTGCATGAATAACAACAGTCAAACGCCGAATATTTTATAAAAATTCCTCCGTATTTTACATTTATAATTTTTACTTGATCTTAGAATGTATTATCTTCTATCTATGTAAGTTTTACTTTTATTGAAAGCAATACTTCACGAAAAACTAAACTCAACAATGTATCCAATTTAGTAGTGAGTGAATCCTTTATAATTATTCTGTGTTTGTGTTTGATGAAAATATGTCTGTAGACCAATCTGCAGAAATGTTTATTAATTCTTACAAAAAAAGTTTTAATTAAAGTGCATTAGACAAGCAGACTTACTTTTCTTTATTTGCTTCAATTTTTATCATAAATGTCTTCAGTTAAAAAATCATTACTACTAACTACAATTGATTTTCCCATTTTTTACAATATAACAATTTATCGATATGGATATTGAATATGCTATTTAAGCCAAGTAAATCATTGTTAAGAACTCATTTGATATGTTTATTTTTTTTAACGTAATTGCTTTGTATTAGATTGACAGGGGAACTGATCCAATGGAACCAAATCATTACAATAGTGGTACCCAAACGGCTGGAAGCCGAGAACAGGATCCATCATTGCCAGGTCCTAGTGGCCTTCAATCGCCTCCTAATTCAACCAGCATGGGCTCGGACACAATTCTTGAACCATCTGCATCTGCCCGTACCACTAGTGAGTATTTTATGCCATGAAGGATTTATTCTCCGCTAAAACATTATAATTATGTTGCATAATACCATAAGGCTCATTTATATTTCTAGTGAAAAAATTACCGTCTGTTTGTTTCTAGTTAATACTACAGATCCTTGCGAACCACAACCCTCAACGTCACAGTCGCAAAACCTTATAACACCTAGTAGGATTTTTTCTGTGTGTCGTAAACCTCCTAGCTCTATAAGAGGCACCCAGACCGTTGAATCTAGAAAACATAAATTTGACGGTGGAGAACTAAACCGAAATAAGGAAAAACGGTAATTAATTTTACAAAATAATATCTAAAGCGCAAGTTAACGATTGCCGTTATTAGGCTGAAGCGCAATAGCTGTGACAACACTTCTAGTGAAAGTGATTCATCTAGAGAACCACAACCTCAAGAACAAACGCAAGTAGAATCCACTTTTCCTGATCTAAATTCCAGCAACATTAGGGAAGGTCAACGAGTGCTGGTTGTCAACTTAGAGAGATTAAGACCTGAAAGGTATTTTTTATTAAATCGGTTTATTTAATTAAATCGTATACACATGCATAACATTTTTTTATAGTTTATTTTATCAAAAATATTTTGTTATTGCTTAATTCATTAAGTTTTTTATTTTCAGTGAAATTCAAAATAATTCTTCTATGAGCGCGAGCAACGCTCAGACCCCACACCAAAGCTCTTCCACTGGGAGTGAGATTAGTCAAGGTATGTTTCCGTGATAAAAGTTCAAAAGTTATACTTTTGTTATATATAAAAGTAAAATGTGCTACAGTCATTCCGAATTAGCGACAGTCCTCAGTAGATGTTTTTTAGGAAACCAGTTCATAACATGTGAAACTAAATGACAAAGAGGAAAAACCTAGTAATTTTACTGATATATAAATTCTTCATTCTAATGAGAAAAGACGAATTTAATATTTCAAAGTGTGGTTTTTTAATTGAGTTTCCAAAGCAATATTATTTGCTCACCATACAAAATGAGTTTTTTTCGATGACTAGTGCAAGGATCTTGGAAACTACAACATATACAACGAAGGTTACATCGACAAAGAATTGTAGTTGTAAATGCTCTACTCGAAACCAATTTCATTTTTCTAAAATTTGACACTTGTCAGGAGATGTGTGAAATAAACTGATTTATGACAGATTTTTAAATGACTCTTAGTTCCATCAATATTAATCTGACAAGTAAACCTTAGATAGAAAAGTTGTAGAAAATTGAATTCCAAGAAAATGGCATGAAAGAGTTCTACAAATTAACTGTCATTTTTGACATACCACACAAACTTCATTTTTTTAAAGTGGCATCCATATTTAATTCTGCCTTTAGTGAATAGGGCATTTTATTATGATTTAAATCATGTCGTTAGGTTTTTCTAAAATAAAAACTTGGAAAAAAAAATTTCCGGAATAAAATTCTTTCGAAAAACCTAACTATTTAATAAAGGCATAATCAAATATGGTTTTCATCTAAAAAACATGAGTTTGAATCATATTTAAAAAATTACAGTTAATTCGCAAATATGTCTTATGTCATTTTATTTGGAATGCAAGTTCCTAAAACTTTTTTATTTAATGTCTTCCTGTCAGATTAATTCTGATTGAACTAGAAGTTATTTAGAAATCCGTCATTAATTAGTTTTCTTCAAATATATATATTGACATCTGTCAAATTTTGAAAAAAGAAAATTAGTTTCGATTAAAGCATTGAAATCTGCAATTCTTTGTCTTTTTAACCTTTTTCGTATCGGCTGTAGTTCCCAAGTTCCCTATATTAGTTATCGAAAAAAACGCACCTTGTATATGTACTGGCTACACTTTTTGAGTGTCTATCCATAATTTATACTCTTCCCTACCCACCAATCACTTAACCTTAGTTTTTATTGCTTTCAATTACTCTTTGGATTTGACAGCACAGTTTTATCAAAGAATTAGTACATATGTATTTGGATTTATGCCAGAAGTAAGATTTCTGGGGAAAATGTATCCCTTCTTCAACTGTTATAGTAAATATATTTTCACTTCCTCAGAAAAATTAGTCTATTTATCATATTTTAGAAAATAAATATGGAAAAACTTTGCTACTTTSAACCGTAAGAMATACATTTTAAATTTAAACTTTATATACGTTATATAAAATATATAACGTATATAAAGTTATATAAAATATATAACGTTTCATTTCGAAAAAAATAATTTTCTGTGAATTTCAGTAACACGAGACACTTGATAACAATTCTCAATTACTAGATCGGGCGTATTTGGAAAAATAAGTACGCAAGATTGTATACAAGTCGGGTGGACGAATTTCAATAAAAAATGTAATAAAAAATGTTTACGATTATTTTAAGTGACTCGGTATATTAGTTCAATTTTCTATAATAAATATTTGCCAGCAAGGCCTAAGGTGGCATCCAAGACTTAAACACAGAAAATTCATTTTTAGAATACGATAAACCTGAATGAGTTCTAGTAAAAAGTCATAGATGTTT